CCAAGTATGGCCATACAAATGTAGAAGGGTATACAGATGCTGATTGGGCAGGTTCAGCCACAGATAGGCGTTCGACATTTGTTTTTAAAATCTGATCGAGACACAACTTTGCCATTTTTGGGAGGGGATGAGGACCAGTGGCTGTTGCAAGTATGTTATGGGTAAGGAGTGGGGAGGAGAGAAAAGGGTGGGGAAAGATGGGTAGGTATGCAAATTGGTGAGTATAACAAGTTGGAGGCATTGGTGAGGTATGAAGTGTAAATGAAAATGATGCTCTGGTGTCATCTTTTTATAACTAGTTGGTATCCACAGTACCATCTCAAGCCCAAGTGCAAGAGAAAGTTAACACTCTGTCCCCAAAATTTCATAACTGATAATAGAAATTAAAAGAAAATATTAAAAAATGCAGCGGTAAATGTGTCCAAGAGGTAAAATGTGGATTTTCGACATGTATCATAGATATCTTTTCTAGTAAGCATTTGTGTCCGTATATCGTACCGGCCCCATTGAAGATAGCAATTAATCACAAAGTTTTGGTACTTACGAAAAAAAAAACATCTTTTAAATTGGGGTTGAACTATCTACTCGATGAAGATTTATTTGGACCAAACCGTCCACCTTAACAAGGCGGAGAGCTATCATCATGTCAACTGGTCATTGGTCGACTACCCTCAGCCTATGCAAACCAGAATTAAGAAGAGAATCCCTTTCATAAATTATTATTTTTTTCTCATCAACAAGAGAGGGGTATCAAACTTAGAGCCTCTTCCAACAATTTTTTTTTTTCAGAAAAAAGAAGAGAATGACTTGGAACAAAGTATGATAGTTAGATCATTAAGGAACTCATTAGCTAAAGTTGTGTGTAGTTATGGTTTGTTTAACTATATATAATTCTGTTTGATTTGCATATGAGTAGTTATGGTTTGTCTTATTTCATATGGTTAATAAATACCTTAATTGGAATAACTTAGATCGGAGGGGCTAGATATTAAGAAAATAAAGTCTGAGATTTGACCCACAGTTTTTTCTGTAAAAAAATTAATAATAATAAAGACAAAAACAAAAGAAGAAGAAGAAAAACAGATCCAGAATAGTAGAGTTTACCCATCTCGCAAATCCCATCCGGCGACATTAGCTACTTCAGTAAGTGCAGCTCTCCACCTTGGCACCTTGTCTGGAACGTCTCCAAAGCGTCGTTCATGCACATCGAAAGCCTCCTGGAAACTTGCTGTTTGTTTGCGTACGTCCGATGGATCAACATCATAAAAGACTGGGAGTATCATCTGTCCCTTCTCTTTACATTCTACAATCTTCGTAAGCTCGTCTAAGCACCATGTCGAATGGCCGTAATTTCTTGAAAAAATGACAACTACACATTTTGATCCTTCAATTGCTTCCAAGCTTTCTACCGAGATGCTTTGTCCCTGGTTAAAGTCTTCCTCCCTAAATGCGCAAATATCTTTCTGATCCAAAGCAGTACGTAAATGGTCGACAAAATTCGTGCAAGTGTCTACACCTCTGAAACTGAGGTAGACATCGTGTTTCCGTTTAAGGGTCCGAGAAGAAGAAAAATTATAAGAGGCAGTTTGGGCGGCCATTGAAGGAGAAGGAAGAAGGTCGGTTTATGGCGAGATTAGCTGAAAAAAGGTGTGTACAAGCAAGAGATCTGAGAATGGCAATTACACTACCATTTTTCAATTCTTTCTAGCCAGGTGAGAAAAGTTGACTAATCTTGTTGGAAAAACAACCATTAGTGACTATTTAAAATAATTATATATTAATAATATATACATGTACATCAACGAAATTATATTTATAACAAACTGTAATTCAGAATACATTAAATAAATAACAAATGAAACTAACTTGGATTGGAAACACCATAGCTAAATTGTGTATTCTGAGTACTTGATTAAAACCAAACAACATATAGATAATAAGAACGAATTCCATAAATTGAATTAATCAACTTGGATGATTGTTAACTTGTAGCTTGAAATTGGATTGTCATGGTGAAGTTGAATCCCTAGTGCTTGTTTCATTGTCTCTAAATTTTCTAAAAACATCTACTTGCTGGTCACTTGCTATATTGCATTCCCTTTTAGTAGTTTTCACTCCAAACAAACCCAACTTAACCTCATTTAAATTTTGTTTAGTCTTAGGTTTCTTGTGAGTTTAAGTAGTAGTAGTAAGTGTCTTTCAAATGTCTTTCAAGTCTCTGTGGAATGACCTTGTTCTTGCATTTGTATACTATAATTGGTTCGTGCACTTGCAAGAAATAGATAGAGTAAAATATATCCAACAATTATCAATGTATCCAACTTGCAATCTGTAAAATTTGCATTATTAAATTCATGAATACATATTAGAATGATACAAGCCATTCTTCTGGAATGGTCATAATACAAGTCGTTCTTCTGGAACAATCTATAATGCAAGTCATTCTTCTAGAATGGTCCTTTACATGGCGCTCTTCTGGAACAGCCTTATCTCCCCATTTGGTTACTATTAAAGATGTCGTACAAATATCAAAATAAGAGTATAAGCATGAAATAACACAAGTATAGGTTACATCCTTAGGTGAGAGAAACTTTGCTCAAATATCATTCAAGCTCGTATCGGCTCAGCAGATATAATGAAACGCTTGATGATCTAGTTATATCCTGCAAGAGCAAAAATCACAATTCTTTTGTCTCTATAAAAAAAATAACCCTCAATATTAGGTTCAAAACATGGATTTGTTCTTCTACTGAAGGTTCTAAAGAAACAAAATCCCCTATGAACAGAAAGTTATAAAAAGAAAGAAAAGATACAAAGAATTGTGATATTGATTGCAAGGTAGGTAAGCAAACAGGGAAGGAAACTGACAGACAACAAACTCTCATTCCTCCTGGCCTAGGAGATTAAAGCAATGTCTTTGTTCTTGACTGCCCTACAATCCCTTGAAATCACAGGAGGTGCGATCAGGAATAGTCTCGCTTCCTAAAGAGATGATAAGAGATAGTGATCTCACCTCTCAAGCATATCGAGCACTCATTGATAGGAAAAACAAGTTGATATTGCATCACTAGATAGGGAGAAAACTGGGTGTATTCTGCAAAGAAATTTCGTTAGTAACATATTTATACACAAATTAGAGGAATAGTTTGATCCGGTGAATCTCAAATTAACTACAGAAACTTCTGAGGTTCTCGAGACACTTTGGAAAAAGTGACTTTGTGAAATTTATAAGGATAATATTCAGTTGACAATAATTGTTCTTATGACCCCTGAACCGCCGATAGACTATAATGAAGGCCGCGTGAAGTTTTGAAATCTAGAAAAGAAAAAGGAAATATTAGGATCTGGGAATATATTGGGATCCTAGAAACGTTGCCACATTTCTGCATTTTATGCTTCCATCTGAGAATAGTTTTTTTTTTTTTTTTTTTTTTTTTTTTTTTTTTTTTTTTTTTGCAAAGCATATAGAATAACATATGATTTCATAGCAACTACATGAACTTCAGTATATGTTTGGAAGTCTATGTAAGTTACAAAATGTATAAGTTCTTTGAAAATAAGCAATATTATAACTGCAGTCAAATCAGGTGAGAAGCAATGGAATTAATGTTTTGTTCCTTCCAACATGTGATGTCATTTGTAATGTTGGTATATTTATAATGATCTATACTATCCAAGTAATTTGAATTCATTTATAAACAACTGTGGTTGAAACATATTGAAACATTTCATCAATATGATGTGATTTGAGCTGAAATTAAGGAAAAAATATATGCTATTTATCTTGATGGAAGAGACAAAAAGGTTTAGGAGCTCAATGTTGCGGTCATGTTTCTTTCTTAAGTATGACTCTGAATTTTTTTTGTTTATTTGATTGGCACATTATTTCTGGATGACCTGTGTACCTAAAGTTAATGGAATAAATTTTTGTTCTTAAAATATTTTCTTAGGTAAATGTAATCTATACAAATTTCAATGTCTATGGGTATTAGAGGGTTATGGATAAATCCAAAAGTGATAACACTGGTAAAACACTTGGGCTTTGATAATTACGAATGTTGGCACTAAAACTGAACAGATAGAGATGAGTGCAACTTACAAGTGATGTGGACGATCTGGAGATCGATTGAGTGCTTGATGCAGATTCTTCCTGTCCTGGGATGCTGATCCTGAACCTAGGAAAGCTGAGGCCCGTGAGGTCTATGGAACCGGTGTGGAGCCAGCCTAAGACCCTCCGATGCCGAAGTAAGTTTATTTCTAAGAGCTTTTGCTACTGACAATGTATTTAGCATAAAAGTCAAGCTGAAAAGTCGTACCCTTGTATTGTAGTGAATGGGCCTATTTATAGAGGGCATTTGGTATGCTCTTAGTACTTAATTTAGATGTGGGACTCGTGGGAGGGCCCTACGAGGTTGACACGAGTCTTTGGATATTTCAGGCGGGGCCTTCGAGGTTTGTTCCGCAGAATCGGCAGCCGATACCTATTGTAGACTCTGCTAGGCGATATCGATTGTTCGTTGCCTTGGGCAATACCATCGGTAGCCGATATCGATTGTTCACTGCCTGGGCAATACCACGTGTTATTGGATGAGTGGAGGGTCAGATATGGTACAAACAACGAACATGGTTTTGCCGCGAGCCATATTGCTTTGGTCAAAGCATGGCTCAAAAATAGTAATGTGGGTTCTGATCATTTTTAAAATTTAATTCATAAACTCCATATTTCAAATATAGATTTATAATATATAGGCTTTAATATAAGATTATGTTCAAACCTAATTTTGGTGTAATGTAATTGTTGTTTCATTGCTAATCATGAGCTCTGCTGTGGCGGCAGTTTGTTTGTGTTTTCCCATTTGCAACCTAGCTCTGGATACCAGTTGATGGGTTCGTTATCTCAAAAGGGAAAAGAGAGCAAAATGGGAAATAGAAATAAACTCAATTCAATAATAATCCAAAAATAGGGTCAACAAACGCTTAAATACAGCTTCCAAGTTGTCTCTTAGCAACATAAAAGTAAATAACGAGTTACACGAGTTACAGCTAGTGGTAAATAGCTAGGTGAAAGTAAAAGATAAAGATATAGTTGATAATGGGAAAATGAGGTTCATCACATAAAGTCAACATCCCAAAAAAGTCTATGATATAAAAAAAATAATTTAATTTAAATAAATATAATATATATATATATATATATATATATATACAGTTATTCTCTTATCCGGATGTCCGCACGTTATTATCGTGCGGATCCTATTGTAAACAGGCAGGAAAACAGAGAGGGGTAGTACAAAATACACTGCGTTATATATATATATATATATATATATAGAAAGAGAAGGTTAAGTTGCTGTTGATATGGCTGTCATGCTGTTCTAATATTCTTTTGGGTTATTGATCCCAATGATTCTCCAACTATTGCTCCAGTATCATTTTGGTCAACTAACTAAAATTTTCATTTCAATGGTCCTTCAACTCTTCATTTGTCAAAGTCTGTCAAATATTCCGTTAAATTGAGGGGCAAAAAAGTAAAATATTATTTAAAAAAGGGTTAATGATTAAAATGGTCCCCCAACTATTACTCTAGTATCATTTTGGTCAACCAATTAAAATTTGGGCAAATGACAAAAGACACCCTGTTGGTTTGGGGTGGTTCTCAATATGGACCCCAGGGTATCAATTTTATCAATTTACACCCTTACGTTTGCAACATCGTTCAATTTCATCATTCCGTTAAGTTGATCATGTGGTCAATCATTAAATGCTGATGTGTCTATTGTGGGACTCACCTACTAACCAACCAGTTCTTTAAAAAATTTATATAAAATGATAAAAACATATAATTAAACAAAAACTAAATATAAAAAAATTTCCCTTTCTTCGTCGCTCCTCCTCCCAGCTCTCCAACCCCATCCCCCCTCACCCTCCGACACGTCCAGCCACCTGCACCTCCTCTTCGAAGCACAGCTCCCCCATCTACTGCTCGTCTGCCGTCTCTGAAATTTTGGATTCGAACAGGTTGCAGGAATGTTACGGTTTTGATTTTGTGTGATTTTGGTTTTGTGAAATTTTGGAAAAGTTGCAGAGACAGAGAGAGGATAATCCTAGGGCTTTCAATTTTGATATAGGGGACAATCCTAAGGCTTTGAATTTCACAAAGATTCGATCTTTTCCCCTCCTAGTCAAGAGATTAAGAAGTGGATGAGATTAATGAACAAATTCGAAATCTGGAAGATGATAAGGCAACTCTCATCTATGGCAAAAGATGCATCCACTCCATCTCTCAAATCAACGCCACTGCTTTGTCAACTTGATGGATGACGCCTAGATTTCCAGCACTAAATCAAATCTGCTACTTTGTTTTACAAAATAAAAAATAAAAAATCTGATTATTTGAACTTTGAGCACAGCCAGAGATAAAAAAAGAACAGGTCTTTGAACAAATCTTCAATGGCATCCATAGCCACCCTCTTCATCAAAACACAATACTCATCTCACTCTTTGCCCAAAACGTTCGACATCCATTTCACCCATGCACTGAAACTATCAATCCCTTGAGGTGGGGTGGGGATGAGGAAGAGGGATGGGAGGTGCTGTGGCGGGACGGAAGGAGAGGAGTGATGGACTTCGTTTCAGCGAGGACAGGTGGCGGGGTGGGGGGGTCAGGGAACTCGAGAAGATGGGATCGGGGAG